TGCCGGCACCCGGGCACCGGCCTGGAGCACCCTCCACCGAAACAGCCCCCCCCTCCAGGAACAGCTCCCCGCAACACCCTCCAAAAACAAGCCCCAAAATACCCTCCCCAAAACAGCCACCCAGGAACAAACCCCCGAAACACCCTCCCCAAAACAGCCCAGAAACAACCTCCCTGAAACAGCCCCCTACCAGCAACAGCCCTGAAACAGCCTCCCCAAAACAAGCCCCCCAGAACAACCTCCCTGAAACCCCCCCCAGCTCCCTCCCCAAAACAGCCCCCCCAGCAACAAGCCCTGAAACACTCTCCCTGAAACAGCCCCAAAATGTCTCCTGCAAACAGCCCCCGCCAGGCACAGCCCCACAAAGCACCCTCCCTGAAACAGCCTGCCCAAGGAACAACCGCAAAACACCCTCCCCAAAACAGCCCCCCCAGGAACAAGCCCTGAAACAGCCGCCCAGGCCAAGGTTACCGTCAGTTTTTATTAAATTTTGCTTCCCTGCCCCGCCGGCATGGGGCTCGGCAGTGCCGTAAGGCAGTCGGTTAATAAGGCAACGCGTGCTTCCACAAACACCACGTCAGGACAGTCCCCCGGCTTCAGTCGGCATGGCCGTCCCGGAGGAGAGGGCTCGCTCCCACGCAGGTGCTGGGGTCACCTGGGAAAGTCATCGGCTCCTCCGCCGCGGGCACCGCCGGCATCATTCGGGAAGTTTCTCACCTGGCGCCCATCGGTGGGTGAGCGGTGTCGGGCGCTCGTCGGCACACGGTGGGTACGGGGCGCAGCACAGCCGAGGGTGCCGCGGTGCAGTCCGAGAGTCAGGGCAGCATCGGCGGGACGCTGCCGCCAGCCAGGCTTCATTCCCCATACCGCGGCAGACATAAACCCAGCAGTTAGGATTAGAAACACTTGTTTTTCCTCTTTAGTACAAAAGCTTGGGAAACTCTACGATGACACGGGGTGCAACTGTTTTTTTGCCATATTCTCAATAGAAAATTAATTTTTTTTTTTTTTTAAGAAAACAGGTTATCCACTGCAGATCCAGATGAGAATCGAAGTCGCCCGACAGTCAGGAGCCACCCCAGCTGCCTCAGTGATTAAGACGCAGGTAGCACCCATCACACCTTATTTAAGCCCTGCCAGTCCCGTGCGAGCCTTAGACTTTGTAGCTCAGCTCAGCGTTCATCTTTGTGTACATCTCATAAATTGCATCCAGGATGGGGGTGACCCTCGAGAGAAACTGATGAATCTTCTCTATGCTTTCCTCCTCTTTGACTTCTTTACCCTTCTCTAATGCTTTCAGCAAATCCGATTTGTATGGAAGAG